AAATGGGATTAAACAGGTCAGATGTTAAGAGGAAAATTTTATTCAGCCACACTTCAGACATCAGGTATACAATTCATATTAGATAATCAATATTTAAAATACTGTTGAATAAATACTACAATACAATTAATCTTTAAATACAATAAATTAATTACAATAAATTCTTAAATTAAAATCATTATTGAATGGTAAAAACACATAAATAAGCAAAAGAATACATACAAAGAACAATTACATTAACAATGTTACAACATCTAATAATATAATAATATATCTTATATACTGAGACTGAATATTGCCCATTAGACATTCCCCAAACGAACTACATTTCATATTTAACCACTACAGAGATATCAGTGACGAATTTAAAAGGACTACCCGAGAGAGGCTGCTCTCGGTGGGGCAGCCTGAGCGCTCATACACATATGTTTATTATCTATGAGCGCTGACACCGCTGTCATCTAGCGGACCTCACATTCAAGTGGGCTCTGTATTAATACATCAACCACGGGTTTGAAGTTTAAACTACGCATGAAAACACTACGTTCCATGACAACACAACAGTAACATATCGGTAATTATGGCTTACAATTGTGCGCCTTTCCCTCACTTGCCATTTCTGAAGATTGTTGCGAAATGCATGCTGGGATACCTGGCTGTCTGAAGTCCACACAAGTCTGCTCCGATGCATCCGCGGTAAAAGGGGTGTGGCAAGAACACATCCGGGCATTTGTACTGAACTTGGCTAGATGTGAACTTTGAATTGGAACAGTACTTGGGCTGTGACTGATGACATGTCACAAGTCCACAAGAACACAAGTCCGCACAAGAACGCATATTGAGAAACAGCTGCTGTCTCTCCAGAGTCCGAAATGAACTTTTTGACTTACCGGCCAAGTTGACTGGTGGATGAAAAAACCACCAGCCAAGCATGTTTTTTTACCAGCCAAAATAATAAGTTGCCTTTTTATGTCACATATACAATAGTTTCGGTCCATTTCATTGAAATAATATTGTATTATGTTTACTACAAACCTTAAGAATAAGTCAGAGCAAAATCTGAAGTAAAATGATTATAATATATTGAGCAACACCACAGCCTCAGTATGTGAATAAGTTCCATCTGGTAAGCAGTGATGCAGTGTATATGTCTAGGGCTTTTATCGTGAAAGGGAAGAACATAAAAAGTGAAGCTAATGCGCTGCAATTGACAGTTTGGGAGGCAAGAAAGAGTTTACCGTCTTGGTTAAACTGTGGGGCCTCCATGTTATTTTATTACAGGCATAAGTATGGGCACAATGCTAGCAAACTGGCGGCAAGTATTATTTTATTGGATCAGTCAATGTCCCATACAGTGCTGCAAACTCGTAGTGCTCGAGACAGTGAGTTACGCGGCACCATTTCGATGCACGCACTTGTGTGTGTCTGTGACAGACAGGGACAGCACAGGAGCAGGTTATAGGTTATTGTGCATGATGTTACTAGTCTGGCCCCCTTGAGATTAAATTTGCTCTGATTGTGACCCATTAACTAAAATGAGTTTGACAGCCCTGTGTTGGATAATAGACTGGACGATCCTGGCGCCTATCTAAGTTTTCAGCAGGATATCAACAACTTCAGTGTGCTTTGTTTCACTGAAAGTTGGCTAAATCCTGAAATACTTAAAAGCACCATTCATACAGGTGACTCTTTTTCCATATACCAATGAGACAGAACAGAAACGGGGGGGAGCCTTGGGCTTTATAGTGAATAAGAACTGATGTGACAGTCAGAATATTAAAATGCTATCCTGTTCCCGCACACCTGAAGTTATTCAGTTAAATGCAGACCTCACTTTTACCAAGAGAATTCACATCGGTCATTAACACATGTTCACTCCAAGTGAATATTGAGGCTTCCCTGTCAGATTTCTGAACCTGAACTGATCACAGACTGATAATCCTGATGCTGTGCTCATTGTTGCCAGAGACTCTAACCAGGCATAACCTTAAGAAAGTTATGCCTGACCTCCATCAACATATTGACTGTGGCACAAGGGGAATAAGGACTCTGGATCACTGCTGTATGCCGTTAAGAGGCAGCTACAGAGCAGAATTGCTACCTCCATTTGGTATGAGTGACTATGTGGCCATCCTGTTGAGATCAAAGTATGTAAACAAAATACGGTACATCCCCCCCAGTGAAGTAAGAGGTCAGGAAACGGTCAGGCCAGTCAGAGGTTGCCCTCCCGTCCGCACTACATGATGCAGTCTGGAGCAAGTTCTAGGACACCACTGCCAACATCACTGGTAACAACAATGAACTCACTGAGTCTGTGGTGGATTTAATCTGTAAAACTACAAAAGCAGCCTGTACCAAAAACCACAATTAAGTCATTCCACAATCAGAAACCATGGATTAGTAGAACCATCCAGGATGCCATAAACAAACACACTGCAGTTTACAAATTAGGACTACAGTCTGGAGACATAGACAATTCTAAAGCAACAGCCTGCAATGTGCATCACTGACACCTGTCTCCCTTTCTGAGCATGATGTCAGAAGGGCTTTCAAATGTGTGAACACCAAGAGAGCAGCAGGACCAGACAACAATTAGACTAACACACCCAGATAATGTGATTGGGAGTCGAATTACTCCTGGACCCAGACTGGCCCGAGGTGCTCTGCGCATGCTCCACAGTTTCTGCCCTGGGCTTTGACCCGGTAGTCGAATGGCATTAGTTGCATAACAGAAGAAGAGAAGATAAAGAAAAAGTAAAGCATTAGGTTATCGGCGCCGATCACGTTATTTTTACAAAATCGGTATCGGTAATAAAAGATCGGAGGAATCAAAACAACAATGGCCAGGTTTTGTAATCTATGTTCACTGTTGCCTCTGCTTTCGAATATATAAAGTGTGGCGATCCTGTATATTTTATAAATATATTTTTTTTTATAAGACAGTCAGCTGATGGCTTGCTCACCTCCAGACACTGAGGTACCTCCAGACACACCCACCGGTGCTATCGGCAAGTGGGATGGCTTGATCAGCTGAGCCCAGGTAGGCCGACCCCTACATTATGCCACTCCTGGCAGTATGGTGAGAGTCGCTGGCGAGTGAGAAATGAGCCAGAAGTCCTCTGCGTATTGGGCCTACCACGGCATTTTATACCACTCAAAGTCCGCGAAATAGCTGCGCTTCCCTGTGGAATATCATCCATCCGGCCACTGGCCTCACCTCAGAGATTACGCCACGGATATCAAGGGATCCTACGGAGCCTCCATGCCCGAAACAACACCGGAGTGTTACGGCATTCACACACGATCCCGTGAGTTGGCAAAAGCCGGGGGTTACTTTCTGTTTCATTATTCTTAATTTGGAACCTTCATGCCGGGTTGATTTATTGTTTTGAAACTGAAATGAGTCAGAGCAAACAGTGGATTTTCTTTACCTCCTTGTTTATGGGAAAACCTGGGGTGGAGTTTTCTTTTGTTTAGCGAACTGTGTGGATTGAACTGAATTGAACTGTGATATGTTATTTGGAAATCCCGGAGTGGAGTTTTTGGTTTGAACTGGATTGAACTGACTGAACAGAATGGAGCATTTCTTTTCTTTGGTGGAAAGAATATATACTTTCTTGAAACTGATTACAGTTGTATTTGTATTTTTGTATAGTATAGTATAACTCTTTTGTTCTACAGAAACCAGGTAAAAACAATTTAATTTTGATGTTCAGGGACCTGTTTTATGGGTTTTATGGATTCTTTGTGGGGTTTGACTGAGTAAAAGAAAAATATTTGTTTCATGTGTCAAACCGCTACAAAAGATATAGACCTATTTTGTTTGTTGAAGACAAGAAGATATTGAATTTGTTTACATTTTGTGCTGCTGAACCACCGATAAGCTTTTTGGATACTATTTAATTAAAAACAAACCTTATGGGACAACTTGGATGCATTCCTTTTTTTTGTCTTTCTTAATGCTTTGCAAAGTATCGGATCGGATTCGGTATCGGACTCTGTTTCAAAAATAAAGGACTCGTATCGGATCGGATGCAAAAAAATGTGATCGGGACATCCCTATAAAACATACAGCATGTATGAAATGTACAGAGCTTTAAAGTTGTCCACCATGGTACCAATTAAGGTAAATAGGTAAATGTAACTAACTTGTGTGTCATTTGTTTGGTCTGTGATGTAATATCAACTGGAAGAAGATCCAATACTAACAAGCTAAAAGCGGGCATATCACCACCTAATGTAGCAGAGTCAGACATACTTAGGTCAATAAATGGATTCCCCTCCCGTGCTTGTTACAAATTCAGCTTTGGTAGAATACTAGAATAATAAAATCAGTTGCTTTTTCAGTCCACTTGATACATGTTACTGCAATGAAAATGAAAATGAAATGACAAAACAAGACATTTATTATGGAATTCATTAATTGGAAACAAATATGTAATATATTTCTCACAAATCATTGTCAACATAATGTACCAATACCAATGTTTAATGTTAAATTTAACGTGTGTTTTAATCTGTAATTTACAACTGCAACTGTGTTTATTTATTCATTGTATTCATTTTATTATTCACTGTATTTGTATCATTGCATTTTTTATTGTATTCAGTATATTTTATTGTATTCTAAAGCCTGACCAGGGACAAAGACTGCAAATTAGCTGAAGCTAGAGGTCTTATATGCATCACATTTTCCCATTTTTTGTGGCAATATTGTATGTATCATCCCTGTTAAATAAACATTAAAATAAATAAATAAAATAATTGACAGACTAATCAGTAATACAATAATTTGTTTAAAGTTGTAGGCATGTTCTTGGTATGGTTTGGGTTCCCATAAAGCTGTGGTCACCACCCCTTACAAACAAAGATTCTCACGTTCAGTTTAAGCCAAAATAAAAGGTCTTGTCCTGCTGCATTTTTACTTGGCCCTGCAGAATCTCTTCTTATTTGTGTAGGAGTAAGTCCCTGACCTCTGAATCTCTGTCCTGTTTCCTCAGTGGCAGGTCCATCTACCTCCCTGACCACCATGTCCCTCCTGGCCAAGAACACACCATCCCGCTCTGAGATGACCAAGGTGCAGCAGCAGGTGAAGGTGAACGGGGCGTCAATGACAGTACTGCGAAGGGAGATGCAGGAAATTCGTGTCAAGCAGTTGGAGCAGCAGAAGCAGCTGCAGGATCAGGAACAGAAGCTGCTGGAACAGACCCAAGTGATCGGTGAGCAGAATGCCCGCCTTGCTGAGCTTGAACACAAGCTCCGCGAACTAATGGACAGTAGTGCTGCTGCCATGGGAGGACCCAGGCCCGGCACAGCTGTCCCCTCTACATCTAGCAGCGCTGCTGTGTCTTCCACTGTAGCTAGCACGTCTGGTACTGTGTTGGCAAGTGGCAGCTTGGCCGCAGCCTCTCTTACCAGAGAGCCAGAGGGTGAGGGAGGGTCATCACTCAAACGCACCAAAAAGAGCTCAGACCTTCCACGACAGTCCAAACGGCTCCGCAGCAAGAAATAAGAGAGACTGTGTGTCATGTAGTTGAAGTTTTGTTTTTGGTTTCGAGGTCTGACTGATCACACCTTCTCCCCAATGCCCCGCAGCACCACCCACCCCACCAAGACTCCTCATCTTTACCCCACCCATCCCCCCCATCTTAACATAGCCAGCTGCTCAGACCATTTCTTGAAGGTTACATTAAAATGACTGCATATCTTTTTAATGTAGATACTTTTCTAAGAGGCCTAAATGTTTCGGAAAAAATTGGTATGGCAAAACAGAAATTCAGATGGTCGGAAAATTTGGTCAACAAAAGTCATGGTTCATGTTATTAATGTAGTTCATGTTTCTGAAATCAAATTTACCAAGAGATTTTATTTTGGAAATGTACAGAATTAAAAGGGATATCACAGTGAAAATTCAGTCAGGACAGTCCTTTAATCATCAGTTAAAGTAATCCTAACCTATACAATAAACCTAACTGAAATGACATGTTAAGAGTAATCAATGACCTCATTTCCCTTCATTTCAATCACAGTTGCTTCTTCTTACTTTGGCTAAGTGCATTAAAAAAAAAAAGAATCTAAAAAGTAAGAAGTAATTCATATTCCTTGTCAGTATCTTGGTTGGTCCAAAATGAACCTTCAGATCAGCTCAGTTTGATCTGACCAGTTTTTGAATCAACAGAAAGGGTAAGGATGGGGTCTTAAAGGGAAATTTCGGTTTATTTCAACCTGTCTCCTATCGTCCTAAATTTGTTTCAAGTGACTAGTGACATAAAAATAATAGTTAGCATGTTAGCCGTTAGCCTAGATACAGCCGGGGTACATAGTAGCGTCAGACCTGTTAAAATGTAAGTAAACGGGCAACCTTCAAGTGCAAAGTTAGTCCACTAAACAAGCTTTTTTCCCACAAAGACCGCCTCATATCGTTAGGATAAATGTCAGAGAACATATAGAAAACGACATGTAAACGTGTTGTCTTACCTTACCGGTGTGCTGCCATGTTTGTTTACCATTTAGCTCTGCTTTCCAAAGCGCGGCCGAAATATCGCGAGAACAAGCAGCGATCTCATACCGTGCCTGAAATCTCGCGAGAACAAGCAGCAACAGCTGGAAGGCAGAACCGGACAGTAGCCTGAAAAGTTCATTCATTTATTTTATGAAAGATTTATAGAATAATGGCTGACTTTTTGCCAGACTTCGACTTTGTGGAGGAGGAATTTGATTTTGCAGAGTTTGATGGCCGCCCTTATTTATTTGAGCCAGAATACACTGACGAAGAGCTTCGTGAAATTGAAGAACGGAGGAGGAGAGAGAGAGAGGCGCAACAGGTAGAGGACGAGAGAGGAGGAATGGCTGCTGCAAGGCTGCGTAGCTCTGGAGATTGGTGGTGTACCTGTGAATGCTGTGCCCCAGTGCCCACAGAAGAGGAATGCCTCTGTTGCAAGGAATGGGACCGGTTGCAGCCTTATTTTCAAGGTCTGGATGTGACCGAGGACGAGACACCTCCACCTGGAGTAGTATCCAGCTGGGCTTTATCTAGAGCTCGCGAGATATATTTCGGCCGCGCTTTGGAAAGCAGAGCTAAATGGTAAACAAACATGGCACCACACCAGTAAGGTAAGACAACACGTTTACATGTCATTTTCTATATGTTCTCTGACATTTATCCTAACGATATGAGGCGGTCTTTGTGGAAAAAAAGCTTGTTTAGTGGACTAACTTTGCACTTGAAGGTTGCCCGTTCACTTACGTTTTAACAGGTCTGACGCTACTATGCACTCCGGCTGTATCTAGGCTAACGGCTAACATGCTAACTATTATTTTTATGTCACTAGTCACTTGAAACAAATTTAGGACGATAGGAGACAGGTTAAAATAAACCGAAATTTCCCGAAGAAGGATAAAGGCAGTGTTCCGGTTGCACCTGCTGACTCTGTGAAGCTTTCCAACAGTAAAACAGTGATTTACATCTGTCATATGGTCATAGCAGTGTTTTTATATATTTCAGCCTATTTAATACAAATAAGCTCAGTACAGCTTAACACTTAAAGCAGCTGTGCGGAACTTTCTGTTTTTGTTGATTATAGCGCCCCTTTTGGTCGAAGCGGTATGACACCCATAGCCTGGTGCCTTCAGCTTCATTCGTAAAATCTCGACTGCAACCGGCAATTACCGCATGCATTTGTTTTGGAGAGCGAGAGGAAAATCATAAATGTTCTGGTGTAGCTCTGAATTTCTTATAAACTGAGGACAACTGCCTGCTGTATATTGTGTTCATGGTCACAGTCACAGATAATTTTGTGGCATTTGTTGTAACGTTACTAAACAAAAGAGGTTCACATCAGCTAACGTTACATTTAGCTTGCTTATAACTTCCATGTCGTTATATGTTGAAGTGAAACAACGTGTATATTCTCTAAATAAAAACAAAAATTACATACCTATCGATTAGGAAAAGGGCCAACTGGGGATCAGTTTTAAAACCTTTCAAATCTCTCAGCTCTCTCCACTTGGTGAATGCCCGACTGAGGTTTACATGCGTTTGGGCTCGAGTGCTATCACTGTCCCGTTTAGCCTTCTTCTGTTCTTCTGTTCTTTTTCTTTTAGATGGTGCTCCTTCTTTATCCGCCATGACAACGAAAGTACAACCAAGTCCTTATAGATACATCTGGTAAAACTGTTGTGTTCAGCAATGCCCGTTGCGTACCGCATACTTGAAGAACACTCTCTGTAAACACGGCTCTTCTTCTTCTCTCAATTTATTGGCGGATTGCAAACAACTTCCAGGTGCATACCACCACCTACTGTACAAGAGTGTGCAATGTGTCCGAAATCATTCACTACTCCCTACTACATGTCTTTTAGCCTGTTTCTTAAATCCTACTTGTAAACACGGCTCCTTCTTCTTCTTTGGTTTAATGGCTGCGGGCCGCTGCGGGCGTGCAGACTTACTTCCGCCTCCGGGTGCCGTATTCTGGTTTGCTGACGTCCGCTGTGTCCGACCCGACCGAGGCTACGCTAAATAGCCATATAGAGAAAGGCTTTTTAGTCGCTGTTGGGTTCAAATAAATATGCAGATCTTCAAGGGGGGGGTGATACAAACTAGGGATAGTTTTATAAATGGTAAAAAGTTCAGCACAGCTGCTTTAACAAAGTACACTGAGTGTTACAGTATTTTAAATGTGTTGTTTCTACTTCCTGAACAGACATTTATTATTGCCTTTCATTTGCCTTTAATTCACTGCTGAACTTGCATGTCATGACTTTCTTTGATTTTCAAACTATGAAAAGACATGGCAGCTGTTCCTGGAAACATGTATGAAATTCTCCTCCTCTCTCTGCCTAAAGCAGTTTTATCAAAATCAGAGAAATAGACCATGCAGCTGCACAATCATGCTTCTTTTTATAATTACAATTCCTATTTGAAATCCTTGTTCTTAAGTCTGACAAATAACCTAAACACAGTTACCTGCTAGCTTTCCAAAACTTTCAGTCACATCCCACAGTCTTCATAAGCATTATGACATGACAACTGAGCAACCTCATCTGCTAATGAGGATCTTGTGATTGTTGTTGAAAGCTTTTGGTAAAGCTTGTATGTGGACCTTGAGTCAAGAGTATTTTGTCACATTGGAATTAGTAGTTTTAAGGATGTTGGATGTGGTTAAAAGCTCTGGGAAAATAAGCTATTATGTGGACATTTATTTTTATTTTTTCATCAAACTTCTTTGTCAGTTTTTAGAGACTGCGAGTCAGATCACCAAGTATTTCCATGACCAAGTTTCAGATTTCTCCAGCACGTACCTCCTGGAATCAAACATTCACTTAAAGGCAATAAGTGAAATCGTTTCACTGCTAGGTTCGCTGTTGTGCACTGCCTGTAGAGCAAAACAAAGTGTGTCATGAGCGCCCCCCCCCCCCTCCCACACACACACACACACACACACACTCACACTTTCTATCCACACACACTATCACATCCACACGGTCCCGGTGTTTCTTCCGCAGGCTCCGTTTCACTCAGCTTCACTCAGCTGCCCGATATACCCACTGCTTCTTCCCACATTAACCTGAATAACAAACCAGGGCTCGGTGCTCCGGTTGGATCCAAACGGAGAGCCGCTAGCTGGGAAGCTAGTGGTGGCTAACTGGCTGTGTTAGCAGCTGAGTGAAGTGGAGCATGAGGAGGAAGCACCGGTTAGCCCCCGCTTTCACTGCAGGCAGATTCACTCGCCACAGGGGTGAGGAAATAAAACCTAAACAGCCAGCTTAGTTTATCAGTTAGCAATGTCTTTCACTCACTCTCGGTCTCTGCTGTGTTTAGCTATTTCCCTGTTTGCTTTCCTGTTAGCGTTAGCACTACTCGGCTACCACGCTAACGCTCCAACTCCAACTGAGCCGGGAGCTGGGCTCACAGTCTCACGGAGAAGAGTTGGAACCTTAGCATGGCAGCCCATTATTGCTAACGTCCCCACACTTCTCCGCCAGGCTCAGTGAGTCGGAGCCGAGAAGCGTGGGGACGTTAGCGTTAGCACCAGTTGGCTGCCATGCTAACGTTCCGGGAGCCTGCTTCTCGGCTCCGGCGAGCTCTAGCGTGGAGCCTGGTGGGCTCACGGAGAAGAGAGGAATGTTAGCGTTAGCTCCCAGAGTTAGCACTAGAGTTACTACGGCTACTGGAGTAGCTTGCAGCTATGGAGCGCTTCTACCAGCTCTTCTAGTCACTGAGCCTCGCCTCCATTTCAGCAAATATATCACATTTATTACAGGTACCATCATCATTGAAGTAGGCAGGGGAATAGCTAAACACAGCCGCCAGGCTGCCCACCGGGCTACATTTTACAATGCTAATTGCAAATGTTAGCTGGGCTGCCGGGCTACTCACCTAACACAACCGAAACGCCTGACCCATTGCTGGGACCGACCGAGATTCACATGAACGTACATGAACGTACAGCCGGACCGGCTTGTAAACAATGGGCTGGAGATCAACACAGAGAGAGGATGTGTGATGCTATACTCCAGATGAAATTACACCTCTAGTTCTTCACATAGCAATTTTTTAATTCCTTCAATCTAGAAATGATGAATTTCGCTTATTGCTCCTTTAACGTTTCCCATGCTAATTGTTTGTAGTAGAAAGGTAGAAACAGGGAGGAAAAAAACACTTCTACGGTCCTGAAAGGTCAAAGCAGAATTTATGTAATTTTTTAAACGTATACTGTGTATGTATTGGCATTTAAAGGGTCTGTTCACCCAAATTACATATTTTCTTACTTCCTGTCTATTGCCATGCAGATTGTTTTGGTTTTTCTTGTCCATGTTCAGAGATCTCTGTCTCTGGGACTTCTGCCTCCACCCAAAACAAGGGATATGAATGGGATTCAGCCCAAGTGCATGGGTAGATACCACCAAATGGAAGTCAGAAGATATATTTTTGACCCTTTGAGTGATGTCACTTTAAAAAAAAAAAAAAAGTTGTAACACCAACTTTAAACAACA